TTTTTTTTTTTTTTTTAAGATTTTTTAGATGTGGACCATTTTTTTAAAGTCTTTATTGAACTTGTTACAATATTGCTTCTGTTTTTTATGTTTTAGTTTTTTTGGCCAGGAGGCATATGGGATCTTAGCTCCCCAACCAGGGATGAAACCGGCACCCCCTGCGTTGGAAGGCAAAGTCTTAACCACTGGACCACCAGGGAAGTCCCCCCATCAGTCTTAATTTGACAATTTTCTTTATGCAGAGCCTTGGCCCCTTAGAACTTAACATGTGGGTAACTAAATGACTGTGCCTGTGTGCACACGTGTTAACTGTTCCATTTCACCTCCCTCCCAACACACGTGGACACATGCACACAGGTGAAGGTAAGATTGACCAGGACAGGATCTTTATCTGTTTACTGTTGTATTCCAAGAATCTAGAGGAGTTCCTGGCACATGGTAGGAAATGAGAAGTCAACATATATTGGTTGAATGAAAGAGTGAATAACTAACTCTGGGCTTAGACAGACTTGGCCCTGAGTCCCAATTCCACCTACGCCAACTGGAGGATCTTGGGAAAATGATCATCCTCTCTGCACCTCTGTTTCCTCATCAGTAAAATGGACACATAGGAACACCTGCCCCATAGGATCAGGACTGTCATGAGAATTACACTGTAACAGGGAAGAACAAAATCTGACACCATGTTGGATCTGTTTCTTTTACTTTAACCTTTGCTCTCCTGTTGCTTTTTGTTACTATAATCACTAAAAAGATGTTGTCTATAGCTATTGGCATACCTAATGGCCTCCCTCAGGGAACCCTGCCCCTCTGCCTAAATGTTAAACTAAAGTGCCTTTGTTCAGTTCACAGGGAAACATTCTGCCCACCTGTGGATGGCTGCAAGAAAGAAGAAAGTAACACATCCCTGCCCTGAGGCTGGCCAAACCAGGAGGTGTTTTGCAAGACTTATGGCCTTTTTATTTTACTTCCTCACCTCCTCCCCTTCTCTGTTCTATAAAACAAACTAGCATCCAGACCCCATAAGATGGTACTCTGGGACCCCAGTCTGCCATCTTCTTGAACGGCCGGCTTTCCAAATAAAGTTGCTATTCCTTGCCTCAATACCTCGTCTCCCGATTTACTGGCCTGTCGTGCAGCTAGCAGAGTGGGTAACAACAAGAGTCAGCGTACATGAAGGGCTCAGGATCAGGCTTGTACAAAGTAAGCATTCAATAAATGTTACTTGCCATCGTTATTATTCTTTCAAGATATGCTTCCCGAAGTGGTGATGGATTGGTGATGATTTATGCTCCCAGGCAACATATCTGAGAAGCACAGATCTGAGATGGTGAAAAGGGACTCAGGGCGTTGATAGAGCAGCAGAGCTACCAAGGTCAAGCCCCATCACAAGGCCTCAGCAGCTCCAATTCAACGACAGGCAGGATTTTACAAAGGAGCTGTTAACAGTGTAAGGACGACAGACTCAGCCCTGCTGGAGTAGAATAAACATAACAACGAAACCACTGAGTAAGTGAGGGTGAGGCTGGAAACCTTAAAAGGCAGGAAAAGCAGCTCCTCTCTCACTACTTGAACAGAGAGATTTGTTTATTTAGTTTAACTGGAGTCAAAGCTAATGGGTCTAATGGCTTTGAATCACCTCAGCTTATTCTCCAGATTTCTACACATGGGCTGTAACTTAAATTTTATGAAAGAAGACAAAGAGAAAAAATCAGCCCTCCATAATAAGAGTTTACCGGAATATACTAATCATTTAGACATGCACTTATATTTCTAGAAAGCTGAACATCAGCAGTGGTGTGGCAACTTTTTCCTGGAGCAAAATCCAAGTCTGCCTAAAGGCTGAGAACTAAATCATTAACCTGAACCGTTCACTAAGTATTTAGGAAAACCAAACACTGGAAACACCCAATATTGATAAACACATAACTTTAATCTCTGCAGAAAAAGCAGAGACTGATTGAGTTAAGAGAGGAAGTGGGAATGAGTAAGGAAGATAGAGATAAGGGTAAAGGGGATAACAAAGGGATTGGGGCATCTACTGATTTCAGGGCAATAATAGCCTTAACTTCCCTGTTTATTATAACATGTCTTCCCAAGGCGAATCTCTGTTAAGTGGTCCATTAAGGCATTATAAAAGCAAACTAAAATGAAGGACTGCATGCTCAAGGATGAGCATGACAAATAAAGACAATAAAAAGAAAAAAAATTCTCTCCTCACTCTATAGAAGAAAGACCTTAAGATTTGGGGACAACTGAGCAAGGTCACAGTAGCTAAGTTGAAGCTGGAATCAAATTTCTAGACTCTCAAATCAGTGCTTTGCATCCCATATCAGAACTGCCTCGAGCTTTTAACATGCATGTGATAAGTGGTTCAGAATCAGTTTCTGACAAGCTCCCAGGTGATACTGCTGCTTTGGGGCCTGGAATGATGCAAAAGTAGGAAGCCTCTGTCCCATTGCACCTGCTAAGGTAAGTCTTGGGAATATTTTTTTTAATAAAAAAGATATTTTCCAGGAGCAGGAGAAAGTGAGATTACAGATGAAATACTGAAGTTTTGAAAGTTCTAATAATTCACAACAATATCTGTAAAATTTCAGGGCCATTTACATGGTGGTGTCAGCTCCACTAGTAAGTCAAATATACTGAAGTTACAGTTTTTTTAAGTATACACAAACACCAATGTTTTATAGTTGGGGGATCTCTCACTGAACCATTCTGTGGATATGCATTTGTTGATCATTTGAAATATACCACACCTAAATTGCTCTAAATCTATGAAACTCTCTTAATTCTCAGTCTGCTTTGATAATAGAAATACAATGTCTAGGGGGTGCTTTCACTTTCTTTGAAAGCTGACATTTTAGATAAGAAAGATTTAGATAAGGATTTGGTGTGGCACTAACACACCAAATTCCAAAAGGCTTATCTGCATAGATTTTACCATCCAATAGCACCATGTAATAAAGCTGACCATACCCAACTACATATATTATAACCATATAATACATTACATATATTATAATGACATATATTAGGAGAGGCCCAGTGTAACTGGGGGGAGAAAAGATTTTTGAAAAGCTCTTGTTATTCAATTTCTCTATTTCCCCCCACACCTATCACACAGGAATGGCGATGCACTTGAAGAGAGTTGATGAACGCTGAACACAACGTGTCCCTCCAGCCAAAACTCAGTTACCTACCAAAGCTTCCTTTTGGTCCCCTTGAATCAGCTGAGCCCAAGAGATTTTTCCTATAAAAAGTCCACAGTGTATCTAAATCAGATCCCAGTAAAATTTCACTTCAGCTGAAGTGAAAATGCAGAGGTAGCATTTACGGATAACAGCTGGAGAACATTAGTTCTCTGTCTCTCCTTTTCTCTCCCAAGGGTTGAAAACTCCACTGTTCAGACAGGAAGCAGTCATACACCACACAGTGTACAATGCGAGAACGCTGGGATCTAAGAACAACTTGCATAGGAATAGGAAGAGTGTGAGGGGTTTTGTTGAAGAACACAGAGCAGTGACCCTGTGTTCCTCTTGGGGTGTCCATTCCCCCCACCAGTGTTCAAATAATATAACGTATGCACACCCAGAACTGACAGGCACACACTTCACTCCCTGAAAGCTTCTTTAATAACTCAGAGTAAGGAGGCTTAATCTTTCATTTTTCCACAATTTTTTAAAACATTAACTTCAAGAAGTTTTGGGGGGTGGCCAAGATTCTCCAATAATCTTTTTTGGCATAATTTCACGGTTGCTCTCTTAAAAGACCACCTTTTAACTTTTTAAAAAAGAAATTGTCAGGAAAAAAAAATCTCTTTCACATAACTGCCCAGAATAAGGAAATATATATATTTCATATATATATGTGGAATTCAAAACATGATGCTCTGGAAAAGAACGATTTAAACAAAAGGTTCTTGTGGATACGGTTTTTTAGGGTCGGTTTCTGCTGTAATTCCACAAAGCTGCTGAGAAGGAACACAGACGCAAACATGGGGAGAGGCATCCACATTCTGTGGCCACAGCTCAAAGTTTTGAAGAGGATGATAGGAGTTTCCCTAACACTACAGGCTGAAGAGCCATTCTGCATTCCTACCAGTCTTCAGGCGCTGGACCCCGTTTCTAACCGCCGGTCCTCTGGGGGCGGGCTGTAAAACCGACCCTGTCTCTTCCACTCCCCTCCAGCCAAGTTCACGAAAAGACAAACCTTCCTAACCACTGAACTGCGGGAAATGCCTTTGCCGTATGCATATGAGGGGCATGCAGTTAATCAACCGGGTTACAACACTACGGTTCTATGCAAAGGGCGGGGAGGGGCGAGGGAGAAGCCAACCCACATATCCATCATCCTTTTAGGAGTAGGTGGAGTTTAAAGTTTCCCCAACTTGCAAGTTCCCACTTGACAGGCAATATTTCTGTGCAATTTCCAGCCCCACGTAACAGATGGTCCTCTGCCCGTCTCGAGCCCCGAGAGAGCCCAGACAAAGCCCCCCGCCACTCCTCGCCTCACACGGCCCCTAGGTGGTCAGTTTTACGAAGCTGTCAGCTCGAGGGCAGTGAGCAGAGAATGGAAACTTAACTTCTTCCAGAAGTTTTTCCTGCTACAGGAGAGTCCCGGGGACTGGTGCACAAAGGCCTGGGAAATTTTTTCACTGCGTTGTTTTTCAAAAACGTCTTCCGCCCTCTGCCAAACCATCATCCGAAACCCCAGATGCCCAGGGAAGGGAAACTGAGGCACATGGTTTCAGAAACAGAAGTGCAACTCGAGCCGTCCCAAAGGCAACCTGGGAAGTTGCTTAGAGAGACCCCCGCGGTGGGAAAGCATCCTCGGGGCGCCGAAGTACTCAGAGCCAAAAGGGAAGGTGACGGCCCAGACAGGGTGCCAAATGGGGATGCGCCCCGGCAGCGTGCGAGAATCTTCCTTCCCAGACGGGAGGGCAAGGGGAAGGGAGGGGGGCGCGACTGGGGAGTTGTGAGGACTGGCGGCCCACTCACCCTCACTGCCGTACTGTTTGCCATTGTTCGCGCCCATCCTGCCGCCGTCATGCCCGCCGTCTCCCTGGACACTCCATAGGTGGGGCGCACCGCCTGCGCGCTCCGCCAGAGGAAAGCCCGCCCGACGGGACCTTTAGCTGCGCATACCCCACGCTCCGGGTCCGATCTCCGGACGGGGGCGGCCCCCGCACTCCGGTGGGAGGGGGCGCTCCGTCCTCTCCTGGCACCCCCGACTGCGCCGGGTGGGGCCGGGGGGCGGCCGCCGCCCTTAAAATCCGCGTTCGGGGCCGGCGGGCGCAGCGCCGCGGAGAGCCCGCGCCCCGGGGCCGCCCAGAGGCTCGCCGCGCCGCCGCCGCCGGGTCCCCATCCGCCCGCCCCGATCCCCCTGCGGTGGACGCTGAGCCGCCCGGGCGGCCGGGTCTCGCGGGCTCCGCCGCTTCCTCCGGCCGCCCCTGCGCACCCGCGACTTCCCCGGGGAGGGCGCGGCGGCCACTTGTTGCGGGTGCCCGGAGCGAGCAGAGACTCGCGGCCCGGCGCCGCTCGCCCAAGGGCCGGACTTTTGTTAGCGCCAGGCGCCTCCTCTCGCCGCCCAGCGTCAATCACAGCTGGAGCCCCGGGGAGGAAGGCCGGCCCGGAGATGCGCGGCCTTTTAAAGGGGCAGCGCGCCTTTTCGGGGCTCCGGCTTCCAGCCCCAGGCTCGGCGCAGGCCCTGCGCGCCACCAGCGAATCGCTTCGAGCGAAGGAACACGCTCTTGGCTCTATTTTACTATTGTTCTTTTACCGGCTGGGCCCCTAGTTAGTAAGATGAGCTTCCGGGCGTCGTTTGAAAATCCCTTGGGTTTGCCTGCAAATATGGCCTATTTTAGGTGTGGTGGCATTTAAAATCAACACGCATCAGAGGCTGATTCTGTCTGACAACTCCAGGTAGGCGTGCTGGTATCCTCCTGCGGCTCCCACGTCTGGGACTGAGGCGGAGAATGGAGACGCGAGGGAGGGAAAACTTGAGGGGAGCTTAGCAGGGAGTCACTGCAGAGCCAAAGAGATTCCCCGCCCCGGTGCGGAAGGTTTCCTGGCTCAGAAGTTTTAAGAGCTTCCGAGCCAGGAAGTGTATTTTCTCCCCGTTTCTATTTTTTTTTTTTTTTTTTTTTATTAAAATTAAATCCTCCCTTGAACTTTTGCCCTCTGAAGTTTTGATCTCTGAAGGGTTTTTTTTTTTTTTTTTCTTCTTCTTGTGGTTGGTGTTAACCTTTGTTTAATATATTACAACCTCTTTTGGACATTTTATATGGCACTTCTAAAGTCTTAAAATGGCCCTTTGGTGTTCCCTCCTTTAAATGGAAAAAGGAAATTCTTCTTAATATTTTATTCCCTTTCCATGTAAATACCTAGATTTTCATAACATTGCATCTTAGTGAAGACCGGGGCATTCACAGCACAAATTACTTTGTACGGAAGCAAGCTCACAGCGCGATTTCTCCTTATACGTGTTAGATGTTTTAAGTTAAACTTATATAGTGATACATATATGTATGTACGTATGTATATATATATATATATATACATATATATATATATATATAAGCATTTATGATACCTGAATGGAGATCCAGGAATTTTGTAATTACCTTTTTCTTAAAAGACTTGCCACCACATGCAGAAATTGTCAGTGACTTGACCTTCTGTAGATTCTATTTAGGTAATTTCCTTTAACTTAATACAATCTTCTTTCTTAAAGATAAGCTAAAATATCATGTTTCCAAATTTAGAAATCTAGATTTATTGTTCCGGAGAGATCATATATTGAAAGAAAAATAATGAATTCATCTATTTTCAAGAACAGGGTTAAATAGTTTTGTGTTGTACCGACAACACTTCAACTGTCGCAGTTCAAAGAGATTATGAGCTGTATTTCAGTTCATCTTTTCATATATATAATCTAGCACACTGCCTGGCCAATAATATGTTTCCCGTATCTGTTGAGTTAAATTAAAACTTTGTGTCACGGGCCCTGTATAGGAAATAAGGGTGTCAAAAATGTGGAAGAGTTAAATGGGTTTTCAGAGACTCCACCTGAAAATATAAACTCAAGCTAGAAATGAACAGATGTCTACATTATCTTTATCCAAAGTGGGTCCCTGCCCACCTGGTCCTTGTGATTTTCCATCACCATGTAGGGACTTGCCCTGGATCGAACCCTGGATCAGATCATTCTTTGGAGACTTAGTTGAAGATTAACCCACTGTAAAGTAGTGGAACGATGGACGCTCATCTTGATATTTGGTATTGAGTTGACAACTTGCTCCTTTATAGGCTTTTATCTCCCTGATCCTCTCAATCCCTCTTTTGACATCTACAAATCAGGAAAGTGATCAGAGAAGAAACTGAAGCTCCAACAGTTCAAATGTGTAAAGTCGCCTACGTGGTAAGTGCCACATGGCTTCAGGTTCTCAGGCCGTCTCCTCCCCACTCCCCTACTTCTCTTGACCTGGCCATTATTCACCTTGGAGTCACTGTCTCCCCTTTTGGTTGAGTCACCTTCCAGGACCTTTAACATCAAAGCAAAGGTAACAGTGAAAAGTAAATTGTAGAGACTAACCACATATATCTCCTTTGAAATTAAAGTCTCTAAAGATTTTCAAGGCTCTGTTGCCTGCCGTAAAAGGGAGCAGAGACAATCCAGTTTAAGAAATTCCAGTATAAAACAAAAATAGAAAAAAAAAAACTTGATTTTTAACATCCTTCTGATTATAAACTATAAATACATGTTGTCATAGTCACTGTAAAATCTTGGGGAAGAAAAGAAAGAAAAGCACTACTTTTGCTTAAAATAAAGGTGCATTCACATGTATATATGTTTTGCATTTCAAAAGTAAGATATTGTACACATATATGATTTTAGCAAGAAATTCCAATCTTTTTACCTAGCTGCCAAACTGAAACCCCACCTTTTAAGCCTCTTGAGAAAAGGATGGTGGGTTTTTCACCAATGGGTTCTGAATAACTAGCATAGTTCCTAACACAATGTACTCACTCAGTAAAAACCTGCAGAAGGAATGAATGTTGAACAAAGAGATAAAATGATTTAAATATTGTTCCACTCTCTCTCCCTGCCTTTTTCAAAAAGCCACAATCACTGAAAATATTTAAAAACTCAGTTCTGAAATAGATTTGTGTTGAAATGCCTGTATTATCCAAAAGCGGAAGAACTGTTCTTTAATTAATATAAATTTATTACCAAAATATAAAGTTGGATTCTTGGCAAGAGAAATATTTGTTTCGGATAGAAAATGAGGGTAAAAGTGATTATTATGCCCACCCCAGAACATTTAATATATTATTACAGAATCTGTAATATTAGAAAAGAAAAACAAAGAACACGCATTAATTTTATTTTATTATTGCAACTGTGCTGTTTTGAATTAAGTGTTTTGCATGTTTCGCTTAATGTTCATAACTTAATCAGGCAGTGCTTCTAGTAAATCTTATAATGATGACAGCAAGATTGGAACTGAGATCTATTTGCAAAGCCTATGATATTTCTCACTACTTTCTGCCACCAATTTTGTGCCATCACTTGCCACCCTAGTTTTGGACGAAGCCTGGTTTTCAGTGGAGATACTATGTATTTAACTTAAAAAGAGTGAAGCATCTTTTGAAATCTGCTAGATTTAATTAGATTTCAAGACAAGTATTCATTTATGCCACATGAATCTTCATCATAGCCATGATGATTAATGGCTGGATATTTTAGATAAATAATTTAGATATTTTAATCATTATAAAGTAAACAGTTAGCTTAATACGATGGGCACTTTATATAGGACTCTTGAAACTCTCTCTGCTCACAAAAATTCCCTTAACAGCTCTGGGAAACAAAGTAGCTCTAATTCTAATATATTGAATTGGCTCTAATTCAAAATATTACAGTATTCACATACTCCACCAAACCATTGCACTTCACCCTTGACTGTACATTTAGCATGCAAATTCATATTGCTTTGTCCTTTATCAGGCAACCATCCTATATATCAGGAGGTAAGTTACACGAGACCCCACAGTAGCCCAAACCAGCATCACAAAGTTCATGTGCTTAGCTCAGAGTATTATAGCAGTCATTCGGAGTCCTAACATATTTAATTATCTGATTTCTTAGAACACAGCAAAATAGAAGCAAGGCATTAGAAAGAATATTGCTCAACATATTTGAGAAACTACAAAAAGTTACAGCTCCTTAAAAGTAGGGTAATGAGAAAAATCTCTAAATGGAAGATGGAAAAACTGAATAAGGAAAACAGAAACAAGAAACCAATGAAAAACCCGGGGTGATATAATCATAGGTTATTGTCTTAGATAAGGTATCATTAGCACCTGTAGTAAATAAACCTCCAAATTTTGGTGACTTGGCTTAATACCATAGAAATTTATTTCTCACTCATAAAGCAATTTAAGCACATGTAACTAGTCCACTGGAGATTATGCTCCACACGGTGATTCAGGTATCCAGGCTTCTGCTCTTAGAGCCCCACCAACCACAACATCGTCCACATGCGGCTGGCTTAAGGCACAAAGGGTAACTGGAACGTCATACCCCATCACATCTGCTCACATTCCACTGATGAGAACAAGTTCAGTGGCTTCATCTGGCCACAAAGGAGTCTAGAAAATGTAGTCTCTGACTGGCCTGCTGTCCCTAGCAACACCCCACACTGGGGGAGGGGGAGCAGTGATATTGGCGAACATGCATGTAGCTTAACATTCTTGAGTAGCCCCTGAAGATAACACTTTATTGTTAGTAATACACATAACCACTACATGTCGTACACTTTGGGGGGCTCACGCAACCTACATCTGCCCTTCTCCCTCGCCTTCCTCTTCTCTTTAGGTCAAAAGTTAAATACTTGTTTTCCCAAAAGCCCCAGTAGTTAAGAATGGCCATATGGCCCTGTCTTGGCCAAGGAAGTGTAAGCAAAATTCACTAGGAGCACCTGGAATAGATTTTTGCTATTGAAATAAAATCCAGAGATAGTTCTGCCACTATTTCTTCCCTCTTCTTCCTCCCTTTAACTCCACTGTTTTTTGAAACTGTGGCAGCATCTTGTGAACTTCAGGGAAATGCCAGGAGAATCG